CAGAGAGAGGGACATGGGGGGAGAGGGGGAGAGAGAGGGAGAGAAGGAGGGAGTGAGGGAGAGAGGAAGAGAAGGAGGGAGATGGGGGAGGGGAAGGGGAGAGGGGAAAACAGGGGCTGGGAGGGCGTGAACTCTTACTGCTGGAAACTGGTTGCTCCTGCCTCTCACCCTCTAGAATGATCTCTACCCAAAGCAAAAAGGCAATGGTTCAACAGAGCAGATCACAGAGGAATTTCCCCACCTAAAAAGTGAGAGGCACAGAGGACAGAATGCTGGCAAAAAACCCAGTACGTTCTCCTATGTCAGGCCCACAGCCCCACCAACTCCCCAGGCTCAAGAGCAGTGTCCTGACACCAACGTGGAGGAGGCAGGCGAGCACTTCACTCCGGGGGGGATGCGACTCAGACCACACAGGTTCAGGGCTGACAGACAGGAAGAGCAGAGGGTCTGCTGCTCTGCACCATCTTAGGGCTGCAGAGCACCAACGAGAAAATGACGGTGATTAGAGCTTTGGTTTGCAATGTGTCAGTTAAACACCATAGTAAAATGTCAAGTAAGAAGCCTGTGGATAGCCAGGGAAGCACCATAAATCTAAATTTAGATTGCGGCACTCCAGGGGTATTTTCCTCTCCTAGAACCTACTTCGGAAAAAGGGGGGAAATGACTAAAGGGAAAATTTTCAAAAAATACTGCTCCAAGCCCCCATTAATAAAGAGCTTGCTTAGCAATAAATGTACAGCAACTGCTGACTGTTTATCATTTACCTGGCTGATAGTTACCTGGCTGAGGTTATGGATAGCTGTTAATACATGCTCTGCCTTTTTCTTTTGATTAAATCTATGCATCTATGTCATTATATTGCACTGAATGTATAATTTATTACATCACAAAGTTCAGGTTTTGCTTAGGGTTCCCACAATAATTCCCTCCCATCCAATTAAAACTACCTAGTTTCTATACAGAAATTAAAACATATTACTCTCCTCCCTAAGATGCTAAAAACAAAAAAGTTGTCAATTTTCCTGGATAAAGTAACTCCATCCAATCAAAACATTCTTGAATTAAAAAGTTCACTTCCTTTTCTTATTTTCAATACTAATTGCTAAAAATATAGATGTAAAAATCCCCATGAAAAGGTGGGTGGGTAAAAATACAAATGCTTTCCAGCCAGTCAGTGCTCTCGGATGAGAACTGTGCCACAGATTCAAGATCATTACAACTGCCATCTCTCCTAGGTAAAGTACCAACTGTTGAAGAAGTTTCTATAAAACGATACTTTCCTAACATTTTCCCCAGGTTAATGTACGAATTTTTTTGGTTACATAAAAAAAAAAAAAAAAATGAAGTCGATTCTTTCCTAACACTCAAATGCCAAACCCAAAATTTCTAAAGCAAGATACCACGTGATAGTTCATTTCACAATTCCCAAAATAAAACACATTCTCAGTTAACACCTTTATTGTTTTTTCACTGGAGCTGCCAATGCAGGTGTTATTTTTGTGATTAAAAGTCAAAAGTGAGAGATTTTTCAGGAACCCTACAAAATACTTCTGAATTTCCTGAGAAAGGGAGGAAAGCTTCCACAACATCCCACACTGGTGGTCCTAGCAACAGGTATTCATTTTCTCACATAAAGACTCGCTAAACATTAATACAGTCACCTTACAAGTGGCTGCTCAGAGCTTTTCGGGGTTTTCCTACACAATAAAATACATAGAAACCTCATGTTCCACAAACTACATATAAATGACCAGGAAGCTTCCTGAATCATAAGTGAACAGGCTAAAGCAAAATCAGAAGTTATGCCAGATATATTTTGCTAAGGCACACATATCACTACAACATTCTATAGGTCTTCTCCAAGGTGATTAAAGTATTTACTATTTTGGGAGAGAGCAACTCTTCTACTTTTAAGTAAAATCTGAGGTTTGAAGTCTGTCCTCTAAGTATGTCCCTATTTCTGTTCTCAAGAGCGTTTTACTAGCAATGCTAATGTATTTCTCAGGAAGCAACATCCAGCTTATGGACAAATAGTCCACAACAGTTTAAGATGCTCTCGTAATAAATTTTTATTTTTTAAAGGAAAATGTTTCCTCAAAATAAATTATTTGCAGTCCTTTTTTCAAGGTAAAGATAAATGCCTCCCCATTTATGATAAAAATAAGAGACTGTCTCTTGGTGCTATTGGCTGTGGAGACAGTGTGACTCA